TTTCGCTTCATTCACCATGGAAACCACTACTGTTCTCTGTTTATGATAAATCAGTGATGCTAAATTTATAGTTTGCAGCTGTGTACCTTTGTTTTTTCTTTCCTCTAACAAATGTTTGTCTAATCTGTCAATTCCGAGAAACGCAAAAGGAGGGATGTAGTTGAATCAGAAAAAACCAATAAATCGAAGTGAATATCAGATAGGAAAATCCTTTTGTACTGGTTATTTGTATTTCAGTTAGAGACTCGATTACACGGGAATGATTTGTGCTTGAAAGCCCTCGCACGACATAAAATGATAATATTTCACTACTTACCGTTGTTTTAATAACGACCTTTTTTATACTAAAATTCGCTTTGTTTGAGGTGAAACATATAGTATTACACAGGTAAATAGCTTTCTTTTTCTCTCAGGATAGAAGGTACTTCGAGAATGGGAAGAAGCAAATGTGCCTAGTTGGCTGGGATGAGCCTAGTTCAGAATAATCCAGACAACTTGAGAGAACAGTAGTGAGTTCATCTGAATAAATGAGCTACGGATGTCTGCCTCCTCCCTTACCAAACAAACTAGTGTCACCTACCAAAAGCAGAAACAATTTACAGAAATTCGCTCGTACTTTTACAAAATATGAATATATCTGCAATTTTGCTCAGTCTTGGTGGAACATTTACGACGGCATACAAAATTCATTTGTTCAGCAAGTCACTGAGTCAACCCTGTGACCTTCTGATGCCTTACACCGAGGGTTTTATCATTCGTGCACCGCTTGTTTTGGGTTCTTTCAATATTCACACGTCAGTACTGACCTTTCCCATTGAATGACTGTTTGCTACCGTGAAGTAAGTGTATTTTTTGGTGACGCATGATGAGCATTCTTCAACAAACAATGGATAAAGAGTTCCACGCAGTTAGCAAAAGTAAAAAGACAGACCAAGCAGTGGGTGTGAATTCAATTCTTGGAGTGTGACGTCCAACCTGCTAATTTTAATAAAAAACCATTTATTTTTGTTTCGAAACTTTTGGAACAGGACACAGTCCCATTGCTTGACCTTGACATAAGTCTTTACATCTATCTGAAGTCGAGATGAATGGAGAAAACAAAAGTTTTGTTATATTACAAAAAAGTTAACATTCTAAGTGCTTTCAAGATTGGACCACTACGAAAAGCGAAAAGATACTTTTATTATTGCTACAATAATAATTTATCAGTGGTGTTCTGGGGGATTGATACTTATTTTTTACGCCATCGGACAGCTATGACAGTCGAAAATTACTCGTTTAAAAAAGCTTTCCTAATATATTAATGAATACATTATAAGGCAATTTGGGAGGCAAACAAGCTTTCCATGGAGCATAGAACAGATTGTCATCTATTGCAAAGTTAGCTAGAAATCAGAATTGCTCGATGAACGTTTTATCTTTGGGTTTGATGGTGATAGAATTGTTCAACAGTAAAATCGTGTTACAGTTTGGAATCAATCTTCGGTCCACTTGTGTTTTGATGCAACGAATAAGTTATATGGTTATTGCATCGTCCCCTACTCAGTTTTAATCAGTGATATCATTTCCTTTATCACTATACAACAGAAAGTTGAAAAGAAAGATGACCAGCAGTCAGTGCAGTCTGGCGATGCGCTATCAAGTAGGTCCGACAGGGTGCACTAAGTGATGACTCTCTTTCATTCATTTCATGTTTAACTCATTCTCGAATGCTTTGTTTATTGGAACAATCTGCAAATAGTATTAAAGAATTGGTACAATTAATGCCTGTATGAGATAATTGAATTTGCATCAGTCCTTATGCCAGAGGTTATCACAGAGAAGTGAAATGAGCTTTCGCCAACAGTTCTGTCACAATGTTTGTACCGAGTAAGGGCAAAGTATTTGATCACGCGTTTTGAGGTTCGTGAAAATATCCGTTTTCTACGATTGGCAATACATATATCGTCCGTAATTAATGCCTCATCTGTAATAAATATTGTGATAGGATATGCAATTGTTCATAATAAGAAATTGAAATGTATTTTTTGAAGCTGTAGTTCAGAACATATCTTACGTCATTATCATCATATTAACAGAATTCGAAAACTGGTGAGTTTGGTGCAGTGAAATTTATGAAACTAGATTTAAATTTAATTATTTCATTTGTCACATCGTCTTATGCTTCCAATTTCTAAGCATGCAATGTGATCATTGCTTCATGTCAACTTCTTGATGACCATTTTATCTTTCCAGTGGCAATTATTTCCATTTTTAGGAAACGGGAAAGAAGATTCATTAAGGATGACACAGAATACAACGACAACATCACAACACTGCAGAATATGTAGGGTGACAGAATACACTTCCGAAGAAATATTCTGAATACACTGGTAATAAAATCATGATAATTTGAGATATTGATTCACTGATAACACATTTGTGCTTTTATAACAACTGATAAAATCACTTGAAGAACACTATGTCCTTGATATCATCAACAATTCCTTGTTTCCAAATTAGACTACTGAGGGAAGTAGGCCGTCACTTTTTTGATGTTTTTTTTACTAAGTCTAATTCTTATCAGTGTCTGCAATCGATCCTTATCACTTTCAAATCCCTTCACTCATTCTCACAGCAATTATCCATTAGAAATTAATTTGCTGTTAAAAAAAATGTAATATAGCAATTTATGGCGGGCAATTTCTCTTTTATGTGCAGTCTTTTAAGGAAATTTATCTGCAATTCTAGTTAAGTATTATCTTCGTAGTGAGAAATAAATCTGCAATGATATTTATTCATCTTTGGTCGTTCGTGAAGGGTGTCAAAATTTTTTTGGCAAGTGTCAATATTCTCTGAAAGGCCGTGCTATCCGATGTCTTAACCAGTCTAATAATTACTGACGATGAATATCGTGTGGCGAACATCTACGCAGATGAGAGATGGAGAGACATAATAACGTATTCGGTGTGCACTCCGACGTCAATGTAGAAGCAATCACATGGATGAGTGAAGCCAAGCACTTATGAACGTACAAACTGGAGGGATTAAATTCAATAATGTTTAATGCTAGTGCTCTTTGTTTAGTGCTACTATTAATTTTGCGAAGATTTCAATAAGAAATGTTGAAATGTTTAATTCATGTAGTTATAGATCATCAGTAGATATCGTCGAATGACACTATCCGAATGTTAAAGACACTTATTCTTTTAATAAGATTACCAGAACAAAGAGGAAGTTTACAGTCAACAAAGACTGTTTTGGAAAATTCATAACTAGAGAATATTTCATAAATGAATGCTGAAAGGTACTCACCTAAAGTACAACTCACCAAAAAATATCTGAGGAGAGGGAGAATTGCACTGAGACAAAGAAGTACCTAAATGAATCTTTCCTCAGTCTCATATCGCTTTGCTTAAGAATTATTCACCATGACCAAGCTATATTCAGTCAAAGAAGTTAACACTAATCAGCCGATGATGAGGTGAGTTAAGCTTTAAGCCAGCATTAACAGCTTAGGCCTGATAACTTCAAAAAGTTATTAAACGCACATACTAGTCACATTATTGCCGTGAGAAATGAAGTAGCAGCGTGTATACTTGAGGGTATTTAACAGACCGTTCCATTCTTGTCATGTTCTGACTTCTTAAACTATACGTTGTCTGCTCGTACGTAAGAGAGGTTTTGGTCGTGTCATGCACTTCCTGAAAGAGATACGTCATACTGTATGTCGGTAAGTTTCGAATCGCGGTGCTTCTGATCAGTGCCAAGCGAAACGGAGATCTTAAGGTCATGTACAAATAGCCTTACCTTGAGAAAAAGTTTTGCTAAATTGTGAAGAGAAGGTGAGTGGTGGGGCGTGGAGAGTGATTTATGGTTGACAGACTTAGAGCTAATATTCTGACTGTCGAGTCGAGCTGGGCTGAGTGTTGGCACAGCCTGGAGAACGAGAGCTAAGGAAGCATTGTTCACTTCTGGTTTCTTCGTCTCTTTTGTTTCTTTCAGAAAAGCACGTCTTTTTAGCAGAAAACTCCTCCTTCACTGGTGCACGGCAGTCTCTCATAAACACATACAATGTTGTTACTCTGTGATCTGTTCTGTTCATATTGTTGAGATTAAAATTGTTTTCCCGAAGTTAGATTTTTTTAAATCTAATTCTTTCTGTTCGATAAACGATTCAGATGTAAACAATTTCTTCCAGAAGACAGCAAGCTCTTGTAGTCTTTTACTGCATGGAATATTCTTGTAGAACAGACGGCAGATATTGTGAACACATTTGTCACTGGAAGTTGCTGACCTTATATTGCACGTATTACTTCACTTTTATTTATGATACGAATTCCTTTTTTCATTTTCTGAAATTGCTTGACAACCGTTTATTCTGTCTTTCGGCTTAGGAAACCAATCTTCCATTACTGTTGTGCGTGTATAATATATCTGTTGAATTCATCATTTGTTCCCATACAGAGCTGTGAACCTTTTTTCACTTCGTCATGAAATAAGCATTGAAGGAACTTTTTAACAGTGGTTTTATCCAGAAACTGGTCCAGAAATTGTGAAAGAATGAGGGCGACAGCAAATTACTTGCATCTTTACAATTCTTATGTTTAATCAGTAGCAAACAGATGAAAATTTGTTTTTCAAAATATCATTCGCGTGAAGAAACCTGTATTTACTGCAGTTGGTAATCATGGTTGTATCTCTTCTCATAAAGCGTACTAGAGTATGGGATGAAACTTTTAGCAGCTGTTCAACTTCTGATTTGTTTGTTTATATTTTCATTTTAAGATTAATAAACTGACATTAGGTCTTAATGTTGTAATAAGACAAATGACTTGATGGAATAAACAACTTTTAGGGTTTTTGTCTTACGTTTTGATCTAATTTACAAGACGGTGAACCGTTCTTAAAAACACTGTAGTATATTAAAGACATATGCACTTATTTAGATAAACTGTGATTTGTACGAATCAGCGAAGAATTTTCGGTGAAAGGAGTCTTATCCAGAAAAAGTGTCATTAATGGTCTGCGGTGGAATGGATAGTGTGATCAATGGTGATTTGAGCTCTGGTTTCGAGAATTTAACATGTGTACGGTGTCATGATGGCTTCGATTTGAATGAACAAATTGTAAATTCTTCCGGACAAGTGTGGCATTCTGATTGTTTCGTGTAAGTTTTGATCATTTTATGCGCATCAGTTTTTGCTTTTGCAAGGCTTTAAAATAGACTAGAATTTCATTATTTTTTTTCTTAGGAAACATTTGGTAAATCTTTGAGAAGTTACATTTATGAAATTGAAAATTACATATGAAGTTTTGCGTTGCTTCTATGTTCGTATTCGAATGGGGACTTTTATTTTGTTAGTTGCTTTTTAGAAATCTCAGATACTTGGTAACTGACATCAGTGTTTATGTCGGTTTCTTTTTTTTTTATTTACTGATAACTTCTGTGCTGAATGTCGTTCACAATTTTAGTACAAAAATGAATAAAAAATCTTCACATATGATTAAATTTTGCGTTTTATAGTTCAAGTCATTATTAGAAAAGATTTAGCCTCGAAAAGGTGCCGTACAGTACCTTTAGAAGCATATAGGCATTGAACTCCTCTCTTTCGGTTCACAGCACTCTGGTAAGTGTTAGAAAGAGAAATGGCTCTATCAGTAGTTCAGCTGCTGCCATATTTTTGTACTTATTTCTTTCATTCACTGCATATTTTCTTTTCGCTTTACTGAATTGGTATATCACAGTTGTTCGCAATGTTTCGAGCCATTTCCGGATGGGATATATTTCGAATTTGACGGGCGAAAATACTGTGAGCATGACTTTCACGTATTGTATGCGCCGTGCTGCAATAAATGTAGTATGTTTTCTAATTGTTCTTTTTTTGACTTTGTGCTGCATTATTTGATGCGGAGTATTGATTTGAGTTTGAAATCTTAGATTTTTCTTATTCCATTAAATTTTTTTTTCTTGTTTTTTCCTCTTCCCATTATTTATATATGGATATCCGTCAAAAATAACATCTAAACGATATCCTAAAACGTTTCATATACAAACACTTCAAGTAAAAAATATTTATGTTGAACATTAAGAAAGTTTTTGTTATTGCATTTGTTATGTTCAGACGAATTTATTGTGGGCCGAGTAATAAAGGCAATGAACGCAAATTGGCATCCGCAGTGTTTCCGATGCGAATTATGTAACAAGGAACTTGCTGATATCGGATTTTTGAGGAATTGTGGAAGGTATGTTTGAATTCATCTTCAAAATCAAAATAATAGAAGTTAATAATAGAAAAACAAGAGAAAAAGGATAAATGATGAATTTAAAGTTATTTTATGGAAGCAATACTTGTAAACATCACACTATTTTAGATGTATTACGACAATCGCCAAAAGAATAATACTATTATATATTTTAGAGCGCTTTGTCGTGAATGTAATGAGCGAGAAAAGGAAGCAGGTCGAGGTCGTTATGTATGTCATAAATGCAAAGGCATTATTGAAGATGGTGGCCATATTAAATATCATGGCGATAGCTTCCATCCATATCATTTTAAATGCAAATGTTGCGGGTAATTTCTAACTCGAGTAACCAGAATTAATTAATTTCAATTAGGATTCAAATAAACAGAAAAAGAAACGATAGATTTTGAGAACTAATGTTATCAGAAGAAGAAATATAGTTGATAACAAAGTGATCGAAGTAATATATGAAGGCTTACAAATAAAATGTCAGTATGTGTTTTGCATCTTTTAGTGTGGAACTAGAAACAAATTCACGTGAAGTCGGTGGAGAATTGTATTGTTTGAGATGTCATGATACGATGGGTATTCCGATTTGTGGCGCATGCCACAGACCGATTGAGGAACGTGTAGTTACTGCATTAGGCAAGAACTGGCATGTTGAGGTTTGAATATATCATTGGATTGTTACGATAATATTATCCCACGTTTTTATTCTATTCTCATAGTTTAAATGGATATGACGATTTGAAATGTAAGAAAAAAAACAAAAAATTTGCAGCATTTCGTTTGTGCTGTTTGTGAAAAACCGTTTCTTGGTCATCGTCATTACGAGAAGAAAGGATTAGCTTACTGCGAGCAACATTATCATAAGGTTAATTTTTCAATTATTCATAGTTGTTTGTCAGAAGGCTTATATAGTTGCACTGCAAAGAAAAAGAGATACGCACTGGTGAGCATTGTTGATTTCCAGCTTTTTCCCCTCATACTTGTTATGGTTGTTTATCCATTTTTGTTCCTAAAGGTGTCAGTTTGAAATTGGATTGTCATCTGAATATTCTATTCATGAATATGACAATAAAAAAATTTCCCAGATTTTAATATATGCCCACCACCATAGTATATCAGTGAAAAGAGAAGAAACTGCCCAATAAATCATTAATCAAATACTAGTAGTTGTGTTGTGTAATGGTTGTGCTATTATTTTATTAAATACGATTTGCTATTATTCAAGATCGTACTGTCGATTTGAATAATTTCGAAATTTAGCTATACGGTAATGTATGTTTCAAATGTGGTAAAATATGCAGTGGTGAAGTATTCCAAGCGCTCAACAAATCGTGGTGTGTTGATTGCTTTGGTTGCAGTCTTTGCGACAAAAGAATGGATCATAAGTATGTAATTTTTTCGTTTTTTCACTTTCAAAAAATGTTCAAAAAGAAGTCTTGCGCTATATTTACATTTAATGCAGACGGAGAAAATCTTAAGTGCGTTAGTTTCGCGTTAGTTTGCATTTTGTTTTTGTGTAGTATGATTTATGGTTTTTTGATAAGTGACCAGTTGTAATTGTTGTTGTGTTTTAGATAGAAATAAACTGGGTAGTTTTCATCTGCGGACTCTTTAGTAGATTTCAATAGATCTAATTCACTCTCATTTTTATAAAAAATGGTTTAAAGTAGAGAGGATATGACTTGTTATCCAATGATCAGTTTATTCCGTTTTAAAATTCTGTTTATGAAATTTCAGGACAAAATTTTATGAATTTGATATGAAACCAACATGTAAACGTTGCTACGATCGTTTTCCAACGGAATTAAAGAAAAGAATCAGTGACAGTTTGAAAGAACGAGATCTAGAAAATGAGAGAAACAAAATGATGTTGCAAAGGCGATCTACGAGTCCATTCCAACAGCAAACAAATACCTCTAGAAGATGACCTACAGAGCTGGAACTTTCTGATCACCAGTTTCCATCAACTTCTATTTTGGCGATGTTAGCGTAAGAAGTCATCTTCTTACTGAATTTGCTTTTATGATTAGAAAAAGAAAAGGAGCACGGAGAAAAGTGAATTAATTTGTAAATGGGTTATGTTTTCTAGAGTGCAAGATGTAATGATAGAAAAATTAGATTTCTGCTGTTCAAATTTGCAGCGCAATTCTTTTCATACCTACGCTCCTTTTTGTCGGTTTCTTCCTTGCATGACATGTGCCTTTTGACTCGCGAGACTTATTTCCCAAACATTCGGAGAAATTGCCAGTTTGTAGTACACGGTGTCATTATCGAATAAATTGCCTAAACACTGTTTTTTTTTTTTTTTTTTTTTTATCACATGGCAGAAAACTGTCACCGGTTATAAGAGATAAAAATGGTAATAATTTTGCGCATCTGCTAATGAATCTTTTTTTGCTGTTTAGGATTTGGAAAGCATAGAAGCAAATTTCTTTAGTTGCAGACATGCGTCTTGCTGAATGCACCAGTGCTGCCACAAATGTTTGTTTCAGGTTGCTGTATAGCTAGCATCGCTTATCGTATTTATCCTTATGTTTCTTTCACAAAACTATTGCATTTAAATCTATAAATGGCATAATATTACAATTTTTTACATTTCCGTTGTCTTGTTTTCAAAAAAAAATATATATAAATTAATTACATCATTGACTTTTTTATGTTTAACCTCCATCGATTATTAGGCTAACGTATTAATGACTGTAAGTCAATAAATTCAATTTTTGCGACCAGAGCATTTTAGTTTTTCTTTAAAGAAAGGAACTTTTACTTCTTTATTTGTGTATGCATTTTTTACAAACCTATTCATAGCTTAATAAAAACCTAAATCCCTCATAAACTACGGTAATAACCACTTCGATATCGGTTATTAGTGGTCGGTCATTTTCCGTACTTGACATCTGGCATCGAATGAGAAAAAGGGGAAAAATTCATTACTTAATACATTTCAGTACTGTTCGTCTAATTTCATGGCATTTTAAGAGTTGAAATTGTTCATAACATTTGTTAAGCGTACTTAGAGGATATGGAATTACGCAGACTGCAATAAATGTACGAGAAAAGGATGAAACTTTGAGATGGTTCTAATGAATTTTATCCACGTAGCAACATTCCGATGGTTTCATTGTTGAGGTTAACGAAAGCGTTTCACCGACAGCACCTAACTGGTGTGGATCTTTTGTGCAGGAACTCTGGATTTGTAATTTTTTGAGAAGGAAATGTAGAAGTTAAAGAAATTAGAGGGTAGGAATTAGGTAAATCAGTTTCCAGCAGTGTTGTTGCATGAGACATGTCTTATGATGTAGTAATTGACAAAACGATGAGTAAAAAACTTGTGGGTTTGGTTAAAATATTGAAAAGTTAAAATTCATGGATATAGAATTTGAACAGTCTCGAGCGATTCCGAAACTGTAAGTCTGCAGCAAAAGCAAAGGGAACAAGCTGGTACAAACAACGTTCTGAAGCACACTGGACGGACCACATATTAACCTATGTGAAGTACTGTCCGAGAGCGTGTGGCTCTTTGAAAAAGCGGGAGGTAGAGACGTGTGCTCGGTTGGCGTAAAACAATCAAGTGTGGCAATTTGAATTGTCACTGAGAACTTTATGAAGGCTATTATACCTTTTGGCTTAGTCTTTTGGTGTAAATCATTCAGAGTGTGAATAATCATGAGGAAATTGATAGTTGTTCTTGTTGGATTAATTGTACTGGTCACTTTCGTTGGATCTAAAATTCACCATCTTGCTTTAAGAGTAAGTTTGTTTTCACAATACTTTTGCGATAAGTGAAACGTGGAATGAGTTGACGCACATCATTTGTGGATATTTATAAGACATGTTAATATACTGTAGATTGTGCTGTAGTGCTGTGATGAGTTTTTTTTCATATATTCAGTTCCTGAAAATGTTAATCAAACAAGGAGGGATAGAATCCGTACGAGTTAAGTTTTTAGCAAAGTCGATTCAAGAAAACAGTCATTTCATTTGATTTTTTTATTTTTCCGTTTTTTGCAAGAGAAATAATGGACAAAAAAGTTTTCATTATTATCATTATTAACACATCTTTGAATGAAGTTACTCCTTATATTTGAGATCAGCTTTTCGCTTGATAACGATAAGAACACGAACAAATAATTTGGCAAATAAGCAGAGAGAAAGCAGTACAATAATGATAGCTGTTGTGTCATTTCCTTACAAGAATTTCAGATTCTTTCAATGTAAATTTAGTATAGCTGAGAAAGTTTATTTTCCGCTTTATTATAGAATGATGCACGCAGGAATATCTTACTGACAACATTCGGATATAATAAAGGTGGTACATTTATCTTAAAACTGTACAATTTCACAGTTCCAGCAGAATTGGTGTCACCTGATGTGACACGTGAACAGCGTAATACTGATCGATTCGTTCGTTTTACCCTTATTCTCCTCCTATTTTAACCATTATTTGCATATAGAGGGATTTTATTTTAAAATGATGAAACTGCCAAAGAGGACAGAAAGGTATATGATGGAGACATAGAATAGATTTTCACATTTTAGATGTAGGTAATTACACCTAGTAATTTTATTTACATTTTCTAAACAACTTAAAGGGCAATGATTTTGAACTCTGTATTCGTTTTAGGGTGTTATTGGTTTTACACTGTCACGAGGCAAGGACATACTGAATGGTGTTAGATCGAAACCATATGTATGTCAATTATCACAATTTGATCAAGGTGATACTTTACCAAAGATTTTAAGACTCGTTTTTCCCTAATTTTTATGCACTATAGACTGCAAACTTCTTCTTTAAAAAGTTTAAACACAATATGAACAGTTACTGACAAATCATTGTAGATTTTGATGCACTTTTCTTTGTTTTCAACTTTACCGAGAACAGTCTGAAAGTTATACGTACAGGTTCAGCCTACGATTTGCAACTGTGTAAAAATTTAGAAAGGTTACTGAATTTTTCACTTATCATTATTTTTGGGACTAGTTATTGAGTGAGTGGGTTACTAAAATTCCTCACTTCTTTATTGCATTGTTTTAACCATAGCGTTTAGCACACTTTTCAAAAGAAATAATCTCTTAGGTATTAGCACAAGTGCTGAAAAAGGGAATAATAGTTAAGGCCTTGTGTTCCCACCAATTAAATTAGTTTTAAAATATCGTTTGGTTGGTTGAAATTTAAATGATTTCATTGCAGTTGTCCAGATAAAGTAGAACGAACATCATTAGAGGCATCACCCAGGGATGTCGATAAGCCATCTGTCAAAGTTCGTTTCCGCCTCCATCTTAGATTTCCAAGAATTCTAAAAACAAAAAACGCATTTACTTAATTAAAACAGTTGAGAACTTGTTTTCATTGTCATTTACTAGAAGTAATTGTTGCAGGGCTCGCCACATACATCTGGTTTTTTCGACAAATTACACGACATATTATTCCGAACTACTGCCACAAAAATACCATATAAAGATTATCTTCCTTTAAACCTTTCTGGAGATCAGTATTCTACTTCGGTTAGTGTTGTTCAGTGAGTGATTGAAAATTTTCAATGAGTGAGTTTATAATGCTAGCTGATTTGGAAAATAAATACGGAAATGTATTAAATTTGTCTGTTTTGAGGTTTGAAAGATGAGAATTTAAGGTTGCACTAAGATTCGAGGAAGGGCAACAAGGCCGTTATAGTTTCATTTACCACAACTGTTTCAATTACCGAGCGCATGGTTACAGTAACCAAGTTGCTGTGCATTTTACCGTTTGTTATTTTTTTCTCTTTATTGTTTCATCATTAAATCCACTGATAATATAAAACGATATTTGATCAATCAGTACCACTCTTCACTCAACAGCGAAGCACACTTCTCTTTCACTTACCTTTCTAATATGTTCTCTTAACTGTCTACTCCTTCCTGAACCTAGAGTGTGATGCATCTAAAAAATTGAAGGTTGACATAGTCGAACGTAATCCAGGATCATATCTTCCTGCTGGTGATGTAGCAAAGCCAAAGTTGTACTTATATATGGCAACAATATTTGCAATTGCTGCATGCGTATGGATACGTAATATCTGTCATTCAAGGTAATGCATGTTCGTTGCTTTGATTACAAATTGATCTGAATATTGATATAGAGCAGTACGTTCTAATTGTTTCCTTCATTTTAGTTCGGGTACGATTTACAAAGTGCATCATTTAATGACAGCATTAGTTATCCTAAAATCGTTGTCTTTATTTTTCCATGGTATCAACTACTATTTCGTCTCAGTATATGGACATCAACGCGAAATTTGGGCTGTCATTTATTATATCACACATTTGTATCTTTTTATTTACATCTTAATTTAACTTACTTGGAAGTTTTACAGTACGGTTGGAATTTTGTTTAATTAATTATTAGTTATGTTAGCGGAAGATAGAGTTGTCAACATTTCCAAATTGATGGGAGCAACTTTCCATTATTTTACTGATTTCATTTATTTGTTTTTTTTTACAGATTAAAAGGTGGTATTTTATTTGGAACAATAATTCTGATTGGTACAGGTTATACATTTTTCAAGAAGTTTTTGACCGATCGTGATAGAAAATTGTTTATAATTGTTTTACCACTTCAGGTTAGTTTGTTCGGGCATGGTGTTTTGCTGGTTTATAGATTGTTAAATTTGTTTTGTGAATAAGACTGTCAGAGTTGGTAAGAATTCCAATAACAGTTGTGGTTTTATTACATCATGCAGTTAACGTTTTAATGTAAGATCGGAGCGTAGCAGTCATCATGAAGTACAAAATAACAAAGCTAGGTAATAAATACATTTTGATTGTATTTATTATCTTTAATAATTTGGACTAATGAAATTGCGATGATTGGTGTGCTTGAATTAGATCATTTGGAATTTCATTTCGAATTGGAAACTTAGCGAAGTATGTTTCTAAGAGATTATGCGA